TATATCATGCAATACTACATTCAATGCTAATAATATTAGTAAAAATAATTTTTGAAAAATTCCATTCTATAATCAAAATACCGTTAATTGAAATATCGAGATTTAGACATAAAAACTCAAAATATTCAATTTTGCAATTGATTATATTTTGTTTTTAAAATGGAATTTTTCAAAAATTGTTTTTACTAATATTATTAGCATTGAATGTAGTATTGCATGATATAGTTAATTATGTTTAAATATAACATTTTTTAAAAATTCCATAGGTTAACATGTAAAAATTCCCATAGTTTGGTGACATGCTGTGTAAAATCCAGCAATTCAATGAAGGTGGTTCTAAGTTATTATTATACTTTAACATCTCCTCTACAGAATAGCATATCCGCCCCCTCCCGACCCCCTTTTCAACTTAACAAAAACTATGACATTTCGAAATGACCCAAAACACTATATGATCTTGTCACGTGATTTCAATAATTTTTTCTACAAAAATACTAGATATATAGACCAACACATTACAGTTTACAGATTTGATCTAGCTCATTTTGTTTGGGAAATATAAAGATTTCTAAGGCAACAATAGATAATGACGGACTGGATACCATGCATATTTTTAATATGTACAGCTAAATTATATTGTGCAAATCTTGCTTTATGTTTACAGTGTATATTATTTACAAAAATTGATTTAAATTTATATTAATCTCATAATATTTAGAAATTTTGAATAATAAAGATTATATTTTAGGATTTTTAAAGCATATTATACAAATACATTTGAATGCCTAATAAATTCTCAAGGTAATACTTTTAATAAATCATAACAAAAATGTAGTAAAAACTTTTAAGATGTTAATTAAAATAGAAATAACCATTTTAAATAGTTAGTATTGGTTTCCAATACAGAATGATAAAGATAAAAATTATGGTTAAATGTGTTTAAAAAATAATTAAGATAATTTATAATTAATATTACAGTATATCGGTGTTCGTGTCAACTCCATATGTATTTTAAATATGTAAAATTAAATTATAATGTGCTAATTTAACGTTAAGTTTACAGTATATTATTATTTACAAAATATATTTTAAGTTTATATTAATCTCAAAATATATTTTTAAAAATTTGAATAATAAATATTCTATCCTAAAATTTTAAAAACCAATTATACAAAAACAGTTTAATACCATAGTAAAGGCTCCTGGTGATAAATTTAATTAGTTCTAACCAAAATGCGGTTAAACATTAAAAATGCTGATTGAAATGAAATTAACTATATTAAATAATTAGTATTGGTTTACAATAAAAGCTGTAGTACAATATTTAAGTAGCATATTAGTTATATAAATTTTTTAACATGTAAATTAAATGGGGTCTATGTTATACCGCCTATTTTTAATTTTATGTTGCAAAATATTAATTTCATTATTTGACTAAATGTCACTGCAAAAATTAACATTTATTTAAAGCATCAATGATAGTTGATGACCAGTTAATATAAATAATTATAGAGTCAACTTTTTTGAATAAAATATTAACAAGTTAAATGTATAATTAAAATTTTAATTTTATTTGTAAGTATAATTTTATATATTTATATATTGGCAAACTTATATGTAAAAGCCCAATTAAAATATCTGCAAGTAGAATTGTTCTTTTATATTACTGTATCAATAATTATTAATATTTAAATAAAATTACTGCGAAAAGTAATATGTGTTTATTAGTTATAAAAATTTAATAATTTTAGATAACAATGCGTGACCATGTTAAACAAGGCAACTGTCACAATAATATTATAAAATAGTGTTAGGATAACCATTGGGCAATTTCTGTTGGCAATATTGGACCAATTTGTTGAGGGCTTGGGTAGCGCTCGAGTCATCCAATTGTTCACAAATGTTAACAAAAGTGAATAATTTGCCCAAAACGTAGGTATGCTATAGAATGGGGAAAAATAAATATAATATAAATTATTACAATATAACGATACAGTGTAATTAATAATTGTATGAATGACATAATCATACCTTGGTTATTTCCAGACACTGGTCGTTGAAAGTGTCGACAAAGTTGTGATAACACTCTCTGTTATTGAGCTCTAGTCTAGTATTGAAGACATCATTGTTTGCGTTCATTAAGTGTTGAATACTATTCA